AGACCCTGGAGCCCTGGAAGCTGTACGCCACGGTGGGCCTGCTGGTGGCCATGGACGTGCTCACCCTCGCCGTCTGGCAGACCGTGGACCCCTTGCACAGGACCGTCGAGGTACCGCGGGGTGGCCTCCTCCCCCACGGAGCCCTTGGGCCTGCGGGCCCTGAAGGGGGCGAGGCTCCTGGGGCGCTGGGGCGGGGCAGAGTGGGGTTTGGCCTCAGTACTGAGGGTCTCGTGGGACGGAGAGTGGGGAGTCTCCACCCAGCGCGAGCGGGGCCTTGTCTCCCTCAGACTTTCGCGAAGGAGGAGCCGAAGGAGGACATCGACGTGTCCATCCTGCCGCAGCTGGAGCACTGCAGCTCCCTGAAGATGAACACGTGGCTGGGTGCGCGGCGCCGGGAGGGAGAGGCCTGGAGGGGGCGCAGGCCTGGGTCCACCGGCCGCCTGAGCTCCCTGTCACGGGACTAATTTTCTGAGAGTGCTGCCCCTGGTCTTCTTTCATAGCTTTGTTGAGGATTTGAGTGGGGAGCTCCAGGTCTGTTTTTTTTCCTTTAATCCTCCCCTGAGGATATTTTTTCCATCACTTTTCAGAGAGAGTGGAGAGAGAGGGAGAGAGACATCCATGTGAGACAGACACATGGGTTGGTGGCCCCCCAGCCGAGGCCGGGGATCGAGCCTGTCACCGAGGTGCATGCCCTTGTCTGGGCTCAGACCCAGGACCCTTCCGTTTGCAGGCCAGCACTCTAACCACTGAGCCACACCAGCCAGGGCGACAGTTGGCCTTTTGCTGTGAGGAGCATAGGGCCTGAAGAAGGGATAAGGCAGAACTTGTAATCAGCTGAGGGAGGCACCAGTGGGGCTGGGCTCATTCTCATCTCAGACCTGACACCATCTGTGTCTAGACAGCCCCCTAGGGTCAGGCTGGGGCTGCAAGGACATGGGTTTAGGTCCCTTTTCGCCTCTTAAAATCACTCTGATCCATAACCACAAATGGCAGACCCACCCAGTCTGGGGTGAGACACTGCATGGCCAGGCCCAGGCGGAGTGGTGAGGTGGGGCTAGTCGAGTTGGGGGGACACTGGGGGCAGTGGGCAGGAAGGGTGCTGGGAAGGAAGCTCCCTTTCCACTGGGGAGCTATAAGAAAGATCAGCTGTGAGTGACAGTCCTAGAGAGGAGGGGAGTGCATGGGCACGTGGAGGCCTGGTTGCCCAGGTGACCCTTGCTGCTCTTGCAGGCATTTTCTATGGTTACAAGGGGCTGCTGCTGTTGCTGGGTATCTTTCTTGCGTATGAGACCAAGAGCGTGTCCACTGAGAAGATCAATGACCACCGGGCTGTGGGCATGGCCATCTACAATGTGGCGGTGAGCTCCCTGGGCTCCTGGCACTGACCCAGGGGCTGACCGCAGCCCCTAGACGGCGGCCTGGGAAGGACTGGGCCCTGGAGCTCAGATCAATTGGGTGGACGTCTCACACAGTGTTTTAGTGCCTCGGATTTGTAAAGTACCTCAGTTTCTAAAGGACACACAGACACTACCTTAGACACCTTCACACGACCACACAGTGCGGCAGGTGTTGGCGTCCCTGCCATGTAAACGAGGCAGGAGGAAAAGGCGCCGCTGCGTGTCTGGCCCCCGGGTGGAATCGACGAGTCGAGGCTTCCTGCCAGGTGTGCCCAGGGGTGACTCTCAGGACTCCGGGTGTGTGTCTAGAGCTCATGGCACCCGGCCTTGCGGGACGGTCAGCTAAGCTGGGGACTGCTTTGGGACAGCTTATTTGCGATTCTTCTCCAGCTAGAGTTGAGAAGGATCCAAGTTTGGATCCTTCTAAACTGGAAAGTTCACCAGGAACCTGACCTCACAGACTCTTGGGGAAGAAAAGCCGGGACCCTGTCTGAGCCTGCGGGTCTGAGGTGCCCAAACACTCTGCCCAGGTGCTGTGCCTCATCACTGCGCCCGTCACCATGATCCTGTCCAGCCAGCAGGACGCGGCCTTCGCCTTCGCCTCGCTCGCCATCGTCTTCTCCTCCTACATCACGCTGGTTGTGCTGTTTGTGCCCAAGGTGAGCTTTGGTGTTCTCCCCCTCCCCACCCTCCTCCCCGGCACTGCACCCTGCCCTGCCTCTGCCACCCTTGTTTGGGGCCAGTCTTGTGCTTCTCCTTTGAATTCCTTCCAGTTCCATCCCACCATCAGCCAGTCTCTAACACAGTCTTTGCTTGGCCCTCTGATGCCTCAAACATCTGTCCCCCAGATGCGCCGGCTGATCACCCGCGGGGAATGGCAGTCAGAGGCTCAGGACACCATGAAGACAGGGTCCTCGACCAACAACCATGAGGAGGAGAAGTCCCGGCTGCTGGAGAAGGAGAACCGGGAGCTGGAGAGAATCGTTGCCGAGGTGGGCAGATGGGCAGATGCCGAGGTGGGCAGGCGCTGTGCCGGGGAACCTGCCAGGGAGTGAGCGCAGGAGGCTGGGAAGGGGAAGGCGAAAGGGTTGATGAAGGAGGGTTCCTAGCCAGGCCACATCCCGTGTTGGCCTCACCAGGAGGGAAGGGGTCCGTGGGGCAGCTGTGAGCCCCAAGCAGCGAAGTTGAGCACAGCCTCCAGTAAAGGGGACGGCAGGTGCCCACGTGCCCCCTGGGCCCCAGGCTGTGCAGTGACAGGGCAGAGCATGCTCACCTGGGTTGACACGAATCTGTATGGGTTATTGGAAGCTGTGTGCCCTGACCTTTCGCCCTTCCTCATTTTCTCTTCCCTGATTTTTCCCTTCCACGGTGCCCCCATGATGGTCTTTTGGCTTACCTTGTTCTTTCCGTATTCCTCATTTTAACTTCTTTTGTCCACCTACCCGTTTCCCTGTCCCCCCTTCCCTCTTACACCCTTCATGACTCCCCCTTTCCCACTCTCCCAACTGTTTTTCTTCCTCTAGAAAGAGGAGCGAGTCTCTGAACTGCGCCTTCAGCTCCAGTCTCGGCAGCAGCTCCGCTCACGGCGCCCCCCTCCCACCCCCCCAGACCCCTCTGGGGGCCTACCTAGGGGCCCCCCTGAGCTCCCTGACCGACTTAGTTGTGATGGGAGTCGAGTCCATTTGCTTTACAAGTGAGGGGTGTGTTGGGAGGACATGCCGGCAGGGGGAGGGAGTGGGCAAGACGGGAGAACGTGCTGCAGCCCCAGGCCCTGTAGGGCAGCCCCTCTGCGCTCCTGGGTCTCTGGTCTCGCTGCTCCGGGGACCAGACCCTGCTCTCTCTCTCTCTTCATATGATTCTGTGTTATTCCTTCATAATCTGGTCGGCACCTCCCTGCAGCTGCTCACTCACCGGCTCCTCAGCAGCCTTACTACACACACCTCTCCCTTCTCCCTTCTCCCAAAATTGCTCCCTTGGGTGTTGTATTTTTCTGGGGCAATTGAAGGAGAGGAAATGTGGGCAGGTTTGGGAACTGCTCCCAATGCATAGCTGGTGAGAATCCTGACCAAACGCAGGCACCCCTGACTGTTGACATGGATAGGTGGGCCTTTGGGGCAGGAGGTGGTGTCCCTCTCACGGGGAGGTGTCTTTTGGGGAAGGATCTCCCTGAATCTCAATAAACCAGTGAACAGTGTGACTTAGCACCTGTCCTCTCTGTGAAAAGAGTGGGCTTTGGTCCAAGCACAGCCTGGGAGGGCTTCCTGTCCTGGAAGGGATGAAAGGGGTGTTTTATTAATCCTGTGAGGGCTCAACCAGGCAGAGCAGACAGGGTTAGGGCTGAGATTAGTGAATGAGAACATTAGTAGTTAAAAGTGTGGCGTCGGACTACCAGAGTTAGATTCCACCCCACGTAAAACTTCTGTATTCTGTGTCCTCCAAGCCCTCATTTGTGAGGATAACTAACCTCTTACATCACACTGCCACCATCAGGATGCCTCTTCCTAGGGTAGGCGCAAGCACAAGTGCTTGGGATGCACTTGGCCACTGAGATGTTGTACGTGCTGTTGAATGAGTTCTCTCACAGTAAGGGACGTATCCGGAGCCTGGAGCATGTGACTGAACACGTGAGGACTCTCCTTCCTAGGAACTAAGAACAGCAACAACGAAAAAAATGGCTGCTAGGATACAGAGGTGACAGGGCCCCTAGGGGACAGAAATGGGAGGGCAGCTAGGAGACAGAGGTGACAGGGCCCCTAGGGGACAGAGGTGGGAGGGCAGCTAGGAGACAGAGGTGGGAGGGCCTCTAGGGGACAGAGGTGACAGGGCCCCTAGGGGACAGAGGTGGGAGGGCCTCTAGGGGACAGAGGTGGGAGGGCTTGGGTGCTCTTAGCCTTAGAAGTCTGTGTCTGAGAACTCCGGGCATCCGAGGGACTTGCTATCCAGATGAAAGAAAGTACTGAATGTCCGATGGAAAAAATAAACAGCCTTGCCTAGGACTTTTATAATAATTCTTTGTGTTCTTTTTTTTTCCCCTCTGAGAATTTTTATAACAGTTTATTTGAGCCAAACTGACAACAGTTTCCAGGGAGCAAGATCTCCGGTGCCCGCGAGAGGTGCTCTTTTGAAACACTGGTCTTCTCTTCCTCTTGGCACTGAGTCTTTCACTGATTTTTGCAAAAGAGCTGTCGTTTTCATTACCCTGTTTCAGAACAAGGGTCTGTGGTTCTATGAAAGCAGTGGTAGGTTACATCTCAGACCAGCACTTGGAAAGCATCCCGCTGGGATTGTTGCCTTGCACCGTTTGGACTTAATTTGAGTTTCCCCCCTTCCCACTGTGTGTGGCAGGGGCAGGAGCCTCTGGGGTAGAGCAGCCTGCAGCCTGGGAGACCGGCAGCTGTCTCCAGAAGCAGCAGCAGGAGCTGCATACCGGCCCTGGATAGGACCAGAATTACCACTTCACACTTGCTTTGCGCTTGGGCGCGCGCAGCATATGTTACCAAGGATCAGGAGTTCTACTGTGGCCACTGGTGAGCCAGACATTCTTTGCTGGCAGGAGTGCAGGACCCAAGCCAGTGATAGGGCTAGCAGAGGCTCCTGGGGGGTGCAGTCCTGCGACCTCCCCAGCCCTGCCCGTCACCCGCAGGCTCCAGCTCTCTCTCTGACTTTAGAGGGCCCTGGACCCTGGTCTGCGTGTGGGCCCTCAAGGCCTGGCTCTGCCCTGACAACCTCTTGCTTCCCTGCCCTGTTCACTCACCGACGGCATTTTGTGAGCACTAGCTGCTCTGTTAGTTTTGTTCTCTTTCAGTGAACATGTTTTTATTGGGAAAGCTGCTGAGATAGGCACTCTTGTAGGCACTAGGGGAAGCGCAGCAAGCAAGAGGGTCTGTCATGAGGGTACCTTTTCAAGTGGGAAGATGAAGTCAGCCAGTAAGCAGGTGCAAGAGGTAAACAAGCTAGCTGGAGCAACCAGGACTGTTGGGCATCTCTTAGTCATGAGCTCTGAGGCTCAGGACAGCCCCATAGGGAAGCGTGTGCTCATACCTGCTACCTGGCAAGGACACTGGCTCGGGTAGAGGAAGACTCCTGTCTCGATCACACAGCTAATGAGAAGAGCCAGCATTCAGCTGCATGTAGTGTTATCTACCGCTGCATAACTTGTTACCCCAGAAAAGTGGCTTGAAGAAATTAATCATCTCATAGTTTCTGTGGGTCAGAAACTCAAGATGGGGCGGTGGGAGATATCTGGAAGATTTGAAGGCTGGGGGCTGGAGTCCCCTGCAGGGTGCCAAGGTGGGCTTTGGCGTGAGTGGAGACCTCAGCTAGGGCTCTCAGCAGGAACTCCTCTAGCGGCCTCAATGGGTGTCTGCATGACATGGTGGCTGGGTCCAAAGGCAAGTGTCCTGAGAGCCACACAGCCCCCCTTTTGCTACTGCCATGGTCTGGGTTATCACAAGGCTGTCCAGGTTCAGGGGAGGAAACACCTCGCCTCTTGATGGGGTGAGAGCATCGGCTACATAGTAAAAAGTACTTGGGTTGGGATATGTGAGTGAATTCTGCGCTAGCCTCCTTCCCAGTGGCCTACCTACTCCAAAGCAAGTGTTCTCTGCCCTTGACCACACTGCTGGTCACTAGCCTTGTCTCTTCACAGGCCTTTAGCCTCTCACTAGGCTCTGGTTCCTCGAAACACTTCAGGGCCAGCTGCCATCCACACCTACCCCTCTCTGCAGCTGTGGCTCTTCCCACAGGCCTTTGTGATTTTAAGCCGCTTGGGTTGGCCACCTTTTTGTCTATTCCGCTGACTTTTGAAGCTGGGGGTTCTGTTCCCTGTACTTCATGGACCGTTAGCCGAAGGGGAGTCAGGATGAGCTTCATGTCAGGTGATGCCCCAAATGGGGGTGACATTTGACACACGTCACCAACATGCCATCCACTTACCTGGCCCACTGGAGCAAAACAGGAAAGGCTAGGCTGTTGACGTAAGGAATGTGCAAACCTCTAGAGGATTTTTACGGATTTATTTGAGCCAAACTGATGATGATCACCAGGACGCAGAATCTCAATGTGTTCAGAAAATGCTCCAACGAGTGGCAGTTTTGCAGCCTATTTTATACATTAGAACCGAAGGAGGAGACAGGCTTCCATGAAATCCATTTGTGGTAGTTGAGGGGGGTGACAGATTGGGTAGAAAGCAAAATGGAGGGACACTTTCACATTGTGCGTACAGGGTAGTCAGTTATATTTACAGCTTAACAACCCAGCACCTCCGGACCAGCCAGCTAATTGTACCTACAGCGCGTGGAGATGCTATGCAGGGAGCAACACCATTGGAAGCCAAGAAGGGGTTCCGTAGCCGCCTGCTCTGGTGGGAGGTTGTGCCTGAGGGGTCTGGAAAAGGGTGGTCACTCTGACGTGTGTGTGACGCCAAGGGCATATTATCATAGATGCAAAGAGACGAGACAGGCTCGGTAAAGGTAAAGATGGACCTTTGCCAAGCAAGTTACTTGCCGTGACTCACTTTTAGTTAAGGAGTTTTAGTTTCAGGCCGTCCTGTGTGGTTGCTTTAGGCCCCTGAGTTTGTACTCCCTGGCATGCAGGTCTCCCCTGAGTGTCAGGTTAACGCCGGGCCCCTTTTCATCAACCAAACCTCCCGGAAGATGGGCCCCAGCAGCACTGGCCCGTGTGGTGAAACACTGCGGTCTCCGTAGGCCACGCACTGTGACGTGGACTGACAGGCGAGTGAGGGAGACGCACTCCTGCGGCGCGCAGGGTGCCTTCTCCAGCTGTGTGCAGAGGGGGGAGGGAAGGAAAGGAACATTGCCCCTCCACCCATCTTGGGTTCTCCAGCGGGACCCCTGTACACTAGACTGGCAAAGGACATATTAGCAAGAGAGAAGTCAAGTTTATTAACATCTCTCCCCCCCCCCCAAAGGGATGTTACAATTGGGGCTGCCTTAGGTTAACGAAAGGGAAAGGGTTTGTAATGTGAAGGTGATCAGGAAGATTGGTAAACGGGTTCTTTAGAAAGGATTGTTAGGCAGATTAGGTTAATGCCTCCTTCCTGCTGTAGGGGAGGGAGTTACCTTTACAAATGCTAATTTATTTTACAAAAGGAAAACTTGGGCCTTGTTTTTGCCTGACCCTGCTGGTTCTGAATAGCCTTTAGCTCAAAACAATCCATATGCCAAAACCTATTTTGGAGTGGTGTTGAAACGGACACTAAAGGGTGCAGACTGCCTGTCACTACTTGAGCCAAACTGAGCAGAGACAAGGCTGAATCCTGTGAGTGTTTATTCCGATAATGCCGGCAGTATGGAGAGCAGCAGGTCGTCCTGTAAATTCTGCTCTAACCGCCCCCACTGTCTGGCTGATCACATAGAGGTGAGGCTACGTCTAAGGGAGAGGGGGCCAGGGTAAGGGCTGCAGGGCCCTTGGCCTGTGTGTGTGTCCTCCCAGGGTATTTTTTTTCTGTTAAATATATTTTTATTGATTTTTAGAGAGAGAGGAAAGGAGAGGAGAGAGAGAAACATCAATGTGAGAGCAAAACATCAATCAGTTGCCTCCTACATGCCCCCTACTGGGGATAGAGCATGCAACCCGGCATGGGCGCCGAACGAGAATTGAACCAGCAACTTTTTGGTGTACAGAATGATGCCCAACCAACTGAGTCACACCAGCCAGGGCTCCTTCCAGGATCTTGAAACCTGATAACAAGGTAGTTAATTTTCTATGATGCTAAAACCCAGCTTAGCCCGTTCCTGGGACCAGAGAGCGATCAGCATTCCTGAGGCAAACTCACGGAGGGGGTCAGGGTCTAGGCACAGCAACCAAATCAAAGCATGTCCTGTCTTTTGTCTGTTCTCAAAATATATCTTCTTTTTCTTTTTTTAAATATATCTTTATTGATTTCAGAGAGAGGAAAGGAGCGGGAGAAAGAGAGATAGAAACATCAATGATGAGAGAGTCATTGATCGACTGCCTAGCCCGAAACCTGGGCCTGTGCCCTGACCAGGAATCAAACCCCGATCTCCTGGATCCTAGGTCGATGCTCAACCGCTGAGCCACGCCCGGCCGGGCTATATTTTCTTTGAGTAGTGGACCCACCTTGGCTCTGAAGCATCTCTTATCTTTTTATAGCCCTTTTTTTCTCCTTGCAACACCTCCTCCAGTTTCTCAGTCTATAAGAAAACCTTTTATCTA